ATTTCTTTTTATCAGATGATAAAATAGAATACAGAGAAGTTAACTATTGTGGTTTGGACTGTATAGTGAGTAGTTAAGTAACACTCTAAATGAAAGGCAGGACTTTTCATTTCAATTAATACTATAAAAGAGGTCAATCCCAGGCAGAGTGTGTGTGTGTGTGTGTGTGTGTGTGTGTGTGTGTGTGTGTGTGTGTGTGTGTGTGCGCGCGCGGTGGTGTCAGAAACAAACATTTCAGCTGTGCTCTCACCCATAATTATAAAAGTATTAATTATCTTTGTAATTCCAGATATTAAAATCAGAATATTATTGTACCTGGTTTTGTTTCCATGGAGAAGAAGCTAAGTGAGAGCATACAAATAGCATTTGAAACTTGACCTTAGTTAAAGAATCAAAATAGCTAATCCCAATTTTAGACATAAGCCAATTAAGGCATAAAGTTGGGCCTGCAGCTATAGCTCTGGGTAGAACACTTCCTTGCTATGTATTAGACCCTGTCATCTCCAGTATGAAAAAAAAGGGGGGAGGACTGTTGAGTAATTAATTTTCCCAAACTCATGTTGCTACTAAATTATGGTCAAGATTCAATCCAACTTTGTGTTGGAATATGAAAATTTAAAAATTAAGAAAACCTGAGCATGTTATATTTTTAAGAAAAACTTAAAAAATATTTTACTATCTGTCACCATTAAGCATGCTTTATGATCAGCACATTCCACCTCCAACCCAAGTTAAATCTTCCCAGGACAGCTGTAATGTACTACTGCTTGTTTGAATGAGTAACAGCTGGTCACTTCATAACCATACATTTCATGACCCTTCAAATGCTTAAAGATCGTTATTAAGTTACCCTTCAGCCTTCTACGATGTGACAGACCCTATAAAAGAACCATCAGGCAGAGAAATCATTAGAAGCACCACCAGGCACCACCATTAAAGTCACCATCTGGTATAACTGGAAATGTCAGCGAATAGAGACTGCATATTGATGTGTATGCTATGTTTATGCCTTTTAACTGGTCAGCAATGTTAATTATAATTACGTCTTCATTGTAGGATTTTATAGCCTATGTGGACAAATGAACATACACTCGATTAACTAACTGCAGACTAAATGGAAAATGGTTCTCAGGCTAATGTTCCAAACACTATTAGTACTTTCTTTGTTAACTAATAGTCCCCAAATCGAGTGCTGAGCAAACTGACAAACTGGCTTTCTTTCTGAGGACTCAACCTCTTTTCTAACTAAAACTTAATGATTTCACTATTTACCTGTTAAAAACAAGGAAATAGGTTTTATTTTCATTTTCACTGGGTCAATTTTAGTGTGGACTGTCTTGAACTGTCACAAAATAGTAATATGTTAATACTTCCCAGTGATACCTATTTTTCTTTCAAAAATTATTATCAATTAAAACATTTATTTTTAATAAACATCGTAAGCAAATAGTAAGAACTTTGAAAGGTGAGTTTTGTGCTTTTAAGTCTTTATTATTGCTACATATACATGTAGATATAGATAAACGATACATAGATGATAGATAGATGATAGAAATATAAATGTAAAAATATTTCCTGCTGAATTCATTTAGCTCAGATGTATGTTTAGGCCTAACTGGAAAGGTAATATTTTTTGAAACTTATCTTTCATATTCTTGGGGTTTCACATATTCTAGAAGTTATAATGGGTCATATATGTTTCTTATTTCTATATCAACACAGAACTAAACATGTTTTGAATGAAATAATCTGAACACAATGTTCTGTCATTCTGAGAGTGGTCTTCATTAGAAGTACACTGTAACAACTACTTCCATACTACTTACACAGTAGAGCTGATTTAAATTATACAGGGGAACTGGAGAACTTAACTCAACTATAATGCTACTTAATATGAGGTGTTGAGAATCCCAGGACCACAGTTGCCAGGTATGAACCCTGTGTCAAAAGCAAAACAAAACAAAGCAGAAAAAACAAACAAAAAAACTAAACAAACAAACCTACACCATATAGAAAGCATGCTGTAATGATTTGAATGAGATGTCCCCTATAGTCTCAGACATTTGAATAGTTGGTACCCAGTTGGAGGAGGCTTAGGATGTGTGGACTTGAAGAAAGTATGAACTGGGATGCCATTTTCAGTTTGCTCTGTCTGCTTCCTACTTCTGCATGGAGATGTGAACTCTCAGCTGTTTCTGTACCTTTGACTGCTGCCTGCTACCTGCTGCCATGATTGCCTGCCATGATGAACCTATATCTGCCTGGAATTATAAGGCAAATAATCATTTCTTCCTATAAGTTGCCTAGGTCATGGTGTTTCATCACAGCAGCAGAAAACTATACACTTATGATACTAGAAGTCTGGCCCCAGAAATGGCAGAGAAATTCAGATACTTCTCAATTCAGATATTTAGATAATGCTATGTATTTTATTATTAGTAAATTACTGCTCACAGCTCTTAAATTCTGTGGAGTATATGAAACTCTATAGTTTTGAAATCCAACTATTACAATGTTGTTTTCCTATCTATAATTTTATCATTTTAAATTAAAATATTCATAGGTCAATAGGAATTATGCTTAAAAATACCTCCTGTAAGGATGACCCATAGTTCACTATACTTGTTTATAGCTACCACATGAAATCCTTAAGTTTCTTTCCTTAACTCCTCTACTTGCTTCATTTTTATTATTTAGAAGCCTAGATAGGCTTTCATGTACATTCATATTTTATTTAATTATGTGTGAATAAAAAATCTTTTTTTAGAGTAAAACATTGGATTATGATAATCACTGCATTAACAGTTTATACTGTAGACTTAGGCTAACACGCAACAGATTTATTTATAAAGACTAGGTATCAATTTGCAGTATAAGTACAGAACCTCAAACCTGAAGAGCAATAAATGATAATACTCTGAAACATATGCCAGAGAATAGGAAAGCCAAGTGTTTCTGATTCCATCGTTCAAATGCACAGAAATGCACAGACCGTGCCCATTTGGAATACATGTGTCTTACTAGAGAGTGAGTAGGGAACAGAAATAACTTGAGAATGTAACTTTTAGGAATAAAGCACATGGAGGACCATGGCAGATTCCATGCCAAGCAAGAGACAAACATGCCAGACAGCTTAAGTGAGAAGTTTTAATAGAAAGGGAAGGGAGAGTGGAAGAGAAAAACATAAAGAGACACAGAGACAGAGAGAAGACAGAAAAGAAGAAGGAGACTTGAAAAGTTCTGTCTAACCCTTCAGGGGAACAGTGGAAAAGAGAGTTTTTCTTTTAAAGTGTCCTTTGCACCTGCATGCAGACTACCTAGTGACTTAGCAGGGTACTGCTTAACTGCATTCTGCCTGGAGACCAGAGGCAGGCCAGCATAATGCCTGAATTCTTACAGTAACCACAGCCACATCTGGGTTGTGTGTGTGATAACAAGTACCTATGAACATATTTAGAAGAGAGCCTATTTGGGACTCTATTGTCTTAGAAGCAATGTAACATTAATAGCAAAAAATGTTCCCTGTTTTCTTTTATAGTTAATCTAGTTAATTTCCCTAATTTCAAAAGCAGTACTATTAGCATTGGAATATGAAAAAGGAATTGGAAAACAAAAATAACAATTTGATAATTGGTCTCAATTTTCTATCCTCTATTCCCACACTGGCCAATACAAGATCTTTTTCTGTTCTTTTCGCTCTAAAAAGTTGACACTTAAGTTTACCAGTTGGAGGACAAAAAACAGCAGAGAACTGAATATTTTCTTCTCCACATTTTCTACTCTAAGTACATTTTCAAAAATACCACACACACACACACACACACACACACACACACACACTTCCAAAGCAGCTGTGTATGTTGATATGCAAAGAGACAGCAATCAATTTATGTAGATGTGTTTTCCAAGAATTCAAAGTAGTTAATCTACAGGACAAAGACACCATGGGTGGGAAGAAGCCTTATCTTTAGAAGTCACACAGAGGGAAGCATTCTTAAATTCATTTTGGGTGGCCCAAAATGCTACATGATGAGAAACACCTGGGTTTCCTATTGACTCAAAAGCAGTCAGAAGCAATGGTTCTCACACACTGTGTAAGGAGCCCCATTTTTAAAAAGTCTGTTCTGTTATAAACAAGTATTAAAAAGATAGCTGCTGGGGGTTATTCTTATGCATGACTTCAGGGGAACAATGATAGAAACTTGTTTCTTAACTGACAAAATGAAGTAGTTCTTATAGATTTAATGAAATAATTGCAGCAGATTGTGGTGACTAAATTGTGTTCTTGTGGAATAAAGTATTTTCAATAGAACCACCTTTTTCTTAGAATATAGCCTTTTTGAGTGGTTGGTGTCAGAAGAACACATTTGTTGTTATTGCAATCAGATTCTGATGTCCATTCTACTGTTGCTGCTGCCCTGATGAAACCTGAGAAACCGACATCTATGAAGTCTGTTTTTCTGGAAAGCCAGTTGACCTAAAAAAGTTTACATTGATACATATCATATTTTGTTAACCCAATAAACTTTTGACACTTAGGCTTTGCTTGGCTGAGTCTTCTAGCTTGTGCTTGTGAAAGCCCCCCCCCCCCGCCTCTCTCTTTCTCTTTAGCAACAGAGACTGCCAAAAATCCCAGTTATACATTTTTGGTGGCTGGTGGCTTCTCCTCTGAAGTTGCCAGGTGCCCAGTTCCTGCCTAAAGCATTGTAATTGAAAACAAATCCAGCTTATGGAGGAAACAGCATAACTGCAGGCCTACACAGTAGATTAGCACCCAGCCTTAGATGGGCCATGTAATTTTCCCCAGCCCCTTCCCACACTTTGATCTCTGAAGAATGGAGGGGTCATTCAGGAGTTGCATTTCTCAGAATAAATCTGGTCTTTTACTTTTACAATTGGACTTCATTAGTCTTCCTGCATCACCAAAGATACCTATTATGGGGTGCAGAAAAGCTTTAGGCTTCTCTTTGTTTTTGTTTTGCTTTGGCTTTTCCACCTGCAGCTGTGGCAGTAGAGAAGATCCAAAGAGGAAGTATCCACTCTCTTCTCTGAGTTTCATGAGGCATCCTTTAACATTCTGTGTTAACCTCCTGAAGAACTGGATCAGTTTTAAAGAGCATGGGAAGGTTTTCTATTTTTGTTTGTCCTTTTCTTTTTCTGAAAGAGATTCTTGCCATCTAGTGAGGCTAGCCCCCAAATCACAACCTCCCACCCTACCTTGGTCTCCTGATTGCAAATGTACAGCATAACATCCAACTTCTTTCCTTTCATTGTAAACAGAGTGTAATTCACACAGTGCAGCCTGAAATGTTTTCTATTTCTAACTACAATTCATTCATAGGTATTAGCAGGCCTCATTGAAGACCGAACATTTTCTTACTGAAAATGGCAAATACATCTACAAGAGTGTATTCCTATTCTTTCTGTAACTACTCATGAAGGAGACTACCAGCGCTACCTATATTTTGGTCTTTTCAGATACAGACTCTGTTACAAGAACTGACACTTTGTTACTTGGGGAAAAAAATGGATCCCTGAGGTTGTAATACATTTTCTACTGAAGGGACAGCTCCCCTCTCCCACCCACCCCCCACCACATTTTGGCAGCCATGACGGGCTAACATGTGCTCGCTTGACCTTGCTGGGCCTGCCCTAGTCACTAGAAGGTCAGATGCCCTCCTCCTGGCAAGGAACCAATCAGAAGTTAGCTGGCAGGGCTGTGCTTTACAGCTCTGGGTGTGCTTTAACAGACAAGTGCACAACAGTGACCTGCAGAGCATAGCAACCGCCCTGGGAGGGCCTATGGGCCAAAACAACCAGTTTACCAACACAGGACAGGTCGACCAAACCTGGAAGCACACCAATCCTGAGACTGTTGCATACCCCTAGATTCTCCCCTCATGCTGTTCTGTAAGATCACTATCTCATGGTTTCTAGCGGTCTTTCTCCAACCATTTGCCTTGGTAGATGGATGAAAGGCCAGAGCAAATGATTCTTTGCTTTTGCATCGAAATGGGCCTCCTGGTGATTTTGGGGTTCAGAATTTGAGTACAATACTACCTTAATGAAATGGTTGGCTATATTATCAAGGACAGTATACCTCATTCAGGAAGGAAGACTTAAAGTCAGACATACTGGCTGGATGTGTGAGCACATATAGATAATTACAACACTTGAAAAGCTGAGAAAGATTTTATTTTATATATATATTTGCCTATTAACCAACCATTATATGTGTAAGAACTGGTTGTGTTTCTGGATCACTAGGCAACTCATGAGTCCTATTCAAATTCTTATGCTCTGGGAAAGTTCTGCAGCTATGGCCATACAAACTACAACTAAATTTGTGATGGTAGCATATTTTGTGTTTCATGTGAACAAGATAAAAATGAGAGAGAGAGCAGTCCTTTCACCTTAAAATTCCCTGTTGCCTTTCTCTTGATTGGCAAGAACCTCAAGTTTCTTCACTAATGGAAGTCCCCAGGCTCTTCTTCCTGCTCCTTAACACAATTAGTGGTAACCTTTGCCATGTAGCAGTGAAATACATTTATTTATAGCCCATACATTATGCAAATAACTTTCCCTCATTTCCAGATGGCTCTCATACTGCTGCTTTTGCTATGCCATGTAAGCCTCTGTGCCCAAAGAATATAGCAAATATTTATTTCTTCAGTCATTAAGTCATTCAGTGATTTGATATTTATGACACTATTTCTAGATTGGGGAAATACTAGTAAGATACAATTCACACTATAAAGAAATCTTCAACATGCTAATGAAACAGAATAGAAAGGTCTATTGTGCAGTAACAACTTTAAATATCAAAACCCAACACAATATTTCAGTTCTCACTATGTTGCTACAGAACTATGTGGTTTGAATATTGTTTGTATCCCCCAAGGATGAATAGTAATTAAAGGCTTGTTTCCTGGGGTTTTCCTACTGAGTGACTACAGACCATGGAAACAGAACAGAGCCAAACAGCAGGTGTGAGACTGGGAAACAGAACAGAGTTTTGCCCAGGACTCTCTTTAGTTCTGGTTATATACATAAACCACTCATGTTTTGATTTTGTTTTTAAAACAAGTTCTCACGATGTAGCCCTGACTGGCCTAGAGTATACTATATAGATCATGCTGGACTCAAACTCACAGAGATTTGTTGCCTCTGTCTCCCAAGCGCTAGGATTAAAGACGTGCATCACCACTTCCTCCTTATAATAAAATATTTTGCAGGCTAATCCCTTTGCCTGCACATGAAATGCACATGCACACAATGATCCACATTCTTCACCTAGAAACGTTGCAGCCCCCTCTGCTCTCTATTAGCTTGTGCTATGTTTACTCCTAACTCTGAATAATAATATACATTTCCTCATGCCTAGGAACAATACAATTGAGGCAGTTTCTATATATGTGCCCCATAAAAATCAACTACATGCTTTAGGATATGGGTCTCACCTTGCTCTGCTATCAGTATTGACAGAGTTAATCTATACTACTATTTGGCTCCAAATAACATTATCTACCTTCTTTTTGAAAAGTTTTTGTGACACTTGTTTTTTATTCATTGCATAAGATGCCAAGTAACCACCTAGACCAGGGCCCAAGCATCTGCAATCAACCAAGGTAACACAGGGGTCTACATTCACGAACAAAAACTGGGAAGCTAGTCTCCCTTTTGCTATTTTTGTTCAAGATGTCACTTGTACAGGATTTTTCCAAGCAGTGCACCCATTTGTTGCTCTCACCACCATCCAAACAAATGATCCTTGCCTGATTGCCTGACCATGAACATGAATCTTCCAAACTGTGAGCTAAATAATACTGTCTCCAAAGTATGCTTCACAAGCATTCCCTTACAGCAAAACTGTTCAACCTGTAGTCATTTAGAGACTTAAGGAAATTGGTTCTCCATTTAGCACAGACTTTCACAATCACCAGCTAAGAATTAGAAATGTAGGTAACTATATTCTGGCTCTTAAAGTGTCTGCTATAGCCCATTTAAGTAAATTATTTTATATTTTCTGGTTAAAGGAAGTTATACATGGTTATCTAAGACATGATAAAAAGTGGAGCAGGGCATTGTAACAAGGAAAAATTTGGGTCATATATATCAATATCATATTGCTTTGACTGGCCATCTTTATTCTCTTTCTTCAGCTGAGGATGACATAGCATTCTGCTTAAATTTCTAACTTTTAAATATCTAACGTTTAAACTACCTAATGGCGATGCCAAGAGTCAATAGGGTCCCTTTTTGTCCTTTACCATTTTCAAGACCTAGAAATCACCTAGATCATATATTTTTGCCTCATTTTTGTTTTATTACTTAACCACTTAAAGATTACCAATGGCAATACTGTGACATATGCTAGGACCTCTGCTGTCTTGAATGAGTATCAGCTCAGTGTCTTCTTCATTCTACTCTTGATTGATACATATACTCAGAAGCTCCGTGTACCACATGATTTCTGTCTTTACACTCTGTTATCACAATATAATCCAGTTTTAGTTCTTGCTCAAACAAGCATAAAGGTAGACCTAACATAGGGAACAAAGTGCTTTTAAACTTATATGGTAAGAGACCATATAAGTCTAGCTAGCACAAATGGGGAGAAAGTAATCTGATGAATTTTTATCAGAAACCTTAGAACATAATTCTGCCTAGGTGAAAGGCAACCACCAGTGTTATTCTGTTTAAATGAGTGACACAACAAAAAAGGAATCTTATTGAATCATAATATAAGTTACCCATTCCTCCCTTTGCCTCATTATTTTAAGCAGCATTATTGGAAATAAGGAAAATGGATTACTTAAATAGATAAGCCATTCACTAACTGAACACATTCTTTAAACCCCAGATTTCCCATCTTTAGAATAAAAATCACAATAGCAAATTCATGAAAATATATTGAGGATGCTTATAAAACTGGGAACACAGGGCATACCTGTAACAACTATGTTTTCAATATTCACCAACTAAAGAATTGGTTGTAAAGGTTGTTTTAGCAAGCAATATTTTCAGAAAAAAATCACAAGGAGGCATTAAGTCCAAACAACTACTCCATCTTTTTATTTCAGCCAGCAAGTCAGGAATGAGAACACTTAAAGAACACATGAGAGTAATCTGCTAGCCTCAAAACCACTGTCCATAGCAGGCCAATGCAGCAGAGATTTGGAGATGAGACTGGCTCACTTAACTGGTAAGTCAGCAGTGTATACATGCTCTGATGCTCCTGTCAGAGTTTTTTTTTTCCTTTTGTAAAATTTAGAAACAATCTCATGAAGCCTAAGATGGCCTCTTAGTATGAAGATAAGAACTCTGTTTCTCTTCCTTTACTTCCCAAGTGACAGGATCACTGTGTTTTATGTTACTACACCCAGTTCACATAGTGCTGGGGTGTGAATTCAGGACTTTGTGAATGCTACATAAGAATTCTACAACTGCACCCTTTATATGCTCCTGCCAGATTTTACTCTGAATGGAAAACAACTTTTCAGGTCTTTTACAAATCACATTCTCTTTAACGAGCAAGCAGATAAAAGCATTTGTTATGTATGGCCAAAACACATTATTTCCTATGCTTTATATCCCAATGCCAGCATACTCACCACAGTTCACTGATAATTATTTCAGTTTTGTCCTTATCATCATGTCAGAATTTAATGATTTCTTTCTCTGACCTAAGCCTTAAAGAGCCAGCATAAGCATTTTAATCTCACATGTACCTTTTCTGCATTTAAACCAAATACTAAAATATTTCTGGTTTCATCAACAGAAATAATGGTATAGAACTCTATGCATTATTTAAGAAGCAGCTTAACCATAATCAAAAAACTGACTATGACTTAAGTGGTTGTAAAAATTATCCACCTGCATGTAAATGTACATAGTTCATCTTTGGGCCTTAATAAACATTCAACAACTTTTTAGTCATTTGCTTGTATATTTTGTGCTTTAAACCACAATACAACCTTCCAGAAATATGTAAGTATACATTTATATGTGTTGGAACTTAACTGTCTGTATAGCTGAAGGATACCAATGTTTGCTTGGCTTTATGATGAGGAAGCTTGAGAATACTTTGAAATCATGGAGACCATGATTGTTTTTAAAA